CTTATCACTCCTAGAACTCCAGGGATTCTTTGGCATTTTCTACGGATATCATGTGACCTGATCTCCAAATAATAGTGGCTTTCCTCTTCCTTTCAAACTGTTCTTGTAATTTGGGCTGTATATGATTTTATTGTACCATAATTTGCCATATTATTCCAGTGAAGGCAAAAGTGAGCTTTCTCAATGCCATATCAACCTTGTTTCCTAGGGTTAATCCTCAAGTCCCAACACGCTTTTCTATAAACATACATGCAATATGCATGTGTATGCTTATGCATTTTACTGTTGGGGACTCAGTGTACTAAAACTTGATTAAAGGGGTCTGTATCTGTGTCTGTGAACTCCCTTAGCTGACTCCTTTTGTTTTTTGTTTTTTCAAAGACAGGGTTTCTCTTTATTGTTGTTTTTTTTCTCCTTTCTTTTTATTTGTTCAATGTGTCCTTCACATCATGCATCTTGATCCTATTCATTTCCCTGTCCCTTTGCATCTGCCCTCTGCCCCTGCAACCCACCCCCTGGACTCCCTCCTCCCCAACCTCAAAGTAAAACAAAATTTAAGAGAATTTAAAATCTCGTCATGGAAGCTGCCGTGTGACACAGTGAGTCACGCAGTAAGTCCCTTTTTGTTCATGTAGCTTTACTTGCAAGTGTTCATTGCTTGCAGACCCGAAGCTGCAGGATCTCCACAACACAGGGCAACAACAGGGTATCCAAGAAGAGTCTCAGCGAGGGCCCAGCATTGATGGTGCAGTAGAAATCAGACCAGGGTTTCTCTGTATAGCTCCGACTGTCCTGAAACTCACTCTGCAGGCCAGGCTGGCCTTGAACTCACAAGATCTACCCACCTCTGCCTCCAGGGTGCTGGGATTAAAGGTATGCCCCACCACTATCTGGCATATTTCTTTTTTAATGGTGTCTGAGTCAGGTGATCCACACCTGGATTGCCCCTGGACTTTGTAGGTTTTGGTGCTCAAAGCCTGCACCCCTGTAGATCGGGGCTGGGTGCCCCACTCAGGACCAGTCTTCCCATAGACTAAAGAATGAGCTAAGGGGTGTCTCCCTTTCTCCCAGTTATCTGAATTTTTGTAAACACCATATAATTTCTCTTTTTAAAAAATATTTGTACAGATTTGTCAGTCAAATGTCCTGGGCCTAGAAGTTTCTTTGCTGGCAAGTTTTAATGTATGAGTTAATTTATATAATCTGTTTTGTTAAATTGTTTTTCAAGGAATTTATCCCTTTTAACTTTCCTGACACAGGCTTGCTAGTCTTTAGTTCTTTTCACTTCTGCTGCAGGGGTTTCTGGGTAGAGATCATGCGGTATATATTACACTATCTTTACGTAATGAGCAAACCCTGGTGCTCCTATAAATTGTATCTTTTTAAAGATATCCATGATCGTGCTTTGTTGGTGGTAAATTATCACCATGCTTGTATACTCTTTCCTACTGGTTCTATATCCATAAGTCCTGCTAGATTTATTTATTGATTCTAATAATTTATCTTTAGAATCCTAGATATTGTCTATGAGTGATGGTGACATTTTATTTTATTATTTTTAAATTGTTATTCTTATCCGATTTTGAGTTATGGTGTCACCATGTAGCCCTGACTAGCCTGGAACTTGCTATGTAGACCAGGCTGGCCTTGAACTCACGGAGCTCCCTTTGCCTCTGCCTCCTGAGCACTGGGACTAAAGGTGTGCGCCACCACCACACTCAGCTTCATGTCCTTATTGCTCACCGGTTCTTACAGTTTTTCTTTATATAGTTCCTTCTTTTTCATCTCGTCTGTCCCTTTTTCCTCCCAATCTTCTTTTCTCTGTCTCTCTGGCTTTCTTTCTGCCTTGATTGTACTTTGTTGGACCCCAAATAAGATGCTGAATATATGTGATAACACCTCCATGCCACTCCCTCCATCAGAGGAAGGACTTCAATGTTTCACCTTTAAAATGTGAGTTTATTCTATTTATATTATAATGTCTTTAAACTTTTATTTAATTGAAAAATTATCTATCTATCTATCTATCGATCTATGACTTCTCAAATCAAATAGTCTTATTCTTTATTTTTAATTAAAAATTTTTTATTTGGGGGCTGGAGAGATGGCTCAGCAGTTAAGAGCACTGGCTGCTCTTCCAGAGGTCCTGAGTTCAATTCCCTGCCACATGGTGGCTCACAGCCATCTGTAATGGGATCTGATGCCCTCTTCTGGCCTGCAGGCATATGTGCAGAACACTCATACATAAAAATATTAATATATTTTTAAAATTTAAAGATTTTATTTGTGTGTTTGTGCACACACATGTGTGAGGGTGCCAGAAGAAGGTTTTGGGGATCCCCTGGAGCTGGAGTTACAGGCAGTTGTGAGCCTTTCAACATGGGTGCTGGGAACCAAACTCCATCCTCTGCAGGAGTAACAAGTGCCCTTTGAAGTCGGTTTTCCAGACTGTCCAGCATTCAGTGCAGCACTGTGTCTGTGAGATCACACCTGACGCCGGATTTGCCCAGTCTGCATATCTAAATCTACACCCTTTGATTCCTATCTCCTCACTTCTCACTCTGTCCCAACCCCACAACCACCATGTGGTTCTCTGCTACATTCTCCCTTTTGCATAGTCCACACCCAAGGGAAATCGGGTGGTCTCTTGCTCTGCGTGTCCATTTCCTTTGCCACGGAGACCTCCAGGCTTCCTCTCTTTCTCCTTTTCCCCCTGAGGGACTCAAGGAGAATTTCCCAATCAATGTACTTATCTCGAATTTGAATGTTAGAAATAGACAAAGTTTGCTACCATCAAGGCAAAACTCATCTCTTGCTTCAAAGGGAACTAAGAGATAGTTCCTTGTGATTCATCTGGGAGTCACCTGGATCCGAGTTGCCCTGAATGACAACGCTTCACTGTGGAAACATTACACGAACTTTTTATAAGCAAAGAACAAAAGGCGGTCTAAAGGAAGGCATTTTCAAACCCATTGCCAGGGACATCAACTAGATGGGATGCAGGAAAGCGGAGACATCTCTCCCATAAGTCTCAGATGCTATCTGAGGACATTCTTAGCTTTGGGGTTGGCAGAAGCCAGTGGTCTGCTGAATTAATACATCCCAGGGGCTTTACTTGTTAGTTGAAAGGATGTTAGGTCCAACAAAGAGGTGGGCGATAAAGGACCGTGAAGGGATTAAAGATAGCCCAGGATAATTTGGTTCTTGACCCGCAACATTCCAACACACACACACACACACACACACACACACACACCACCCCATAAAGTTCTAGTCAGTCTATAAAATCTTCCACACAGGCGAGGCTTTGTGAGGTGTGTGTGCACAGGGGCTTCATCCCACATTACCCAGAGGAGAAAAAAGTCAATATGGGGTCTGATAAATAGCTCTATTCAAATATGATTTTTCTCTTCCAAATAATAATTTTGAACAATTACATCCATGTCTGTAATATATTAAAATATGAAATGTTTCTACTCATCTCTCTGTAATCCTAGAACTTGAGGCTGGGGCAGCAGAGTGGTGAGTTTGAGGCCAGCCTGGCCTACACGTGAGACTTTGATTCAGAACACAAAAGGAAGCAAGCAAACAAGAACAAAATAAAGGAGGGAGGGAGGGAGGGAGGAGACGGGGAAGAGGGAGGGAAAAGGTCATTCACATCAGCCAAGAAATCCTCTAGCTGTTTTATTCCTTTCCTCATACCTTAAATGTTGTCTTTCAGGTCAGACAGAGGAAGGAAGCCCTCCCTGTGGGCAGCTCATCTCAACACTCGCCCAAGAGAACTCGCTTGTGTGCAGGTGGTGCTGAGGGGGCTGGGAGACCCGTGTGACCTCTGCTTGCCTCCTTGTTGGCTTTGGTTGTCTGTGTGTCTATTCAGTACTGTTGGACCACTTAGGTTTCACAGTCAGCCTTCTTGGCCCTGGTCACTGTGGGGATTGTGACAGAACATTCTAGGGGACCGTCTAAGATCGCCAATTAGGAGAAAGAAAAGAAAGCTTTAAGAGCCAAGTCTCCTATCGCCGGCTCAGTAAATGTTCATCTTGGGATCGGGAGAGTAGTCATCGCTAAGGAAGGACCTGTAAGCGCGGAGAACTTTAGTCTTTGTCTTTTTGTTTTTCTGAGACAGGGTTTCTCTGTGTAGCCCTGCTGTCCTGGAACTCACTCTGTAGACCAGCCTGGCCTCGAACTCACAGAGATCCGCCTGCCTCTGCTTCCCGAGTACTGGGACTAAAGGAATGCACCACCACACCCAGCAGTTTCTGTCTTATTTATTTATTTATTTATTTATTTATTTATTTATTTATTTATTTATTTATTTATTTATTTATTTATTCATTCATTCGTTTGTTTTCTATGTATTATTTATTTTACAACCCAACCACTGTTTCTCCTCCTTCCTCTCTTCTCAGTCTCTCCACCCCCACCTCTCCTCCCCCCCATCCACTCTGCCTCCATTTCTATTCAGGGGAGGGCAGGCCTCCCATGGATATCAGCCAAACATGGTGTATCAAGCTGAATGAATGTTCATAGCAGCTCTATTAGTAATAGCCAGACACTGGACGCAACCTAGATGTCCCTCAAGCGAAAAGCGGATAAAGAAACTGTGGTGCATTTACACAATGGAGTATTACTCAGCTACTAAAAACAATGACATCAAGAAAAATTGCAGGCAGAGGGTTTAGTCCCTGTCTTTTGTCCTCAGGGCAGCCATAGGACTAAACCCGGGGCTCAGTCACCTGGGTGGACGGCACTGTCCAGCCGAGTGCTGACCTGCCCTTCTGTGGGGCTGTCTGCTTGGCCCTGGATGTGGCCCCTTTGGTCATCTTCACGAAAGGAGTGTCCTCGGTCCCTGCATTCTTCTGTGACACTCCTATGAGTCTGGCTCTGTTCATTTGCAAGCTGTTCTCTCCATCTCTGAGGCCATACCACCAGGGCCACCTGATAACCACATCCAGATCGAGTTACACAGGGCGCCGCCGTGGTGATGCCGCCGGCCTCAGAGTCCACAAGGCTGAGTGGCTTGGTGGAAATATTTTCCTCCTGGGCTCCCCTTTGCCAGCTGCTCACCCTCCCGCTTGTTTTTATAATGAAAAAGGAAATTATTACTGCTTCACACGATGGCGGCTCCAGAAATTGTAAGTAAGGGGGGGGGGCGGGGAGGGGGGAGGGCACCTCCAGGATGCGCTGTGTGTTAAAGGCTCAGCTTTCCCATGTGAGACCTGCCAACCAAGGCCTGCTTGGGAGGGGATACTCCCTCGGGGCCGGTTTTCCAGAAAGCTCAGCGTTTACTAATATTGGGAGGAACAAGGGTAGTTGTTAATGGTGTGTAGCTCCATTTGGAATGTGGACAAAGACAACAGGTAGCCAGGAAGGAGGCAGACAGAGGTTCATCATTGGCGCTCGCTCACCAGCCTTCAGGGGGTCTCTGTGGACCTCAGCCTGGACAGAAGCAGATTCCTAAATATCCTGGTTGTATACTTGGGAGGAATGACCTGGGACTCACCTGAGAGCGCCCTTCATGTCTGCGCTTGCTCACCCTCTCTGGAAAGTCTCTACTTAGGAAACGGAGACCTGTGTGGGTTTGGCCTGAGGCAGAGGCTCCCAGCCACTCCTCACTTGGCTGGGTGGCCTGGGTCCCCAGGGCTTGGATACTTTCCTTTTCAATTAGGTCATGTCTGCACGAGCCAGGAAAGGGCTGTGTTTGTGGGAAGCTACTGCCAGCGTGGCCGTGGCCTTCCTCTCATGCTGCTTGCATTTTGGGACAAACAAATTGAGTCTCAGAATATCTTATGTCTAGGACAGGTAAATCCTATGGCTAGAAAGAAAAAAAATGTTGAAGGGCAGAGGAAGACAGCCTTAGAAATCACTCAGATGCACAGTGGCTTCTGTGTGGTAAAGGGGCTTATCTTTAAAGTGTCACTTGACTGGTTTTAAGATTGGCTGCCATCGTTGTTATTGGAGAGGAATCGAAATTCCGCTCTTTTATCAACTCTAGGTTTGTTTTTTTTTTTTTTTTTTTTTTTAAATCAACAATTTCTCCTGTTTACCGTAGTCCAAGGAAAGTTGTGTTCTCAGTAGACAGATGTTTGGGACAAACCCACAGGGTGTGGGCTTCCCAGCTGACTGAAAGGATTTCAAATGGGACAGAGGCACCCCTGGTGCCCACGCTTCCCACAGGGACCAATCCCGCTCACTCCTGGCTAAGCAGGTGGAGGTGGAGCCGGAAGCCAACATCAGAGGCCCTGAGATAGTCACCATGGGGGAAAATGATCCTCCGGCAGCCGAAGCCCCCTTCTCCTTCCGATCGCTCTTTGGCTTGGATGATTTGAAAATAAGTCCTGTGGCACCAGGTAGGTGGGACTTTGTGATGTGGGAACTGGGCAGAAGTAGGGAATGTGGTCAAGTGTCCGTGTGTGTGTGTGTGTGTGTGTGTGTGTGTGTGTGTGTGTGTGTGTGTGTGTGTTGGGAGGGGGGAATCTCCTTGAATATTCTCTCACTCTTTCTTTCTTTCTCTCTCCCGCCTCCCTCTGTCCGTCTTTCTCTTCCCTTTTCCTTCCCTCTTTCCTGTACTGGGGATTGAACCAGGCCATACACATGCTACATAGGCACTCTGTGACTTTGCTGTTTCCCACCTTCCCTGGGTATTTTCACATTAATAGCCGGACGCGTCCCTTTCCTGAGGTCCCTTTCCTGATCTTGCCAACGCAGGAGTTGGAGGGTGCTCAGGAGGAACCCCTTTATGTCAGGCACTGGCTAACTCCCTGGGGGCGGTATTTTTTTTTAGTTTGTTTTGCTTTCTTCTCTTCTTGGAGGTTTTCAGAGACCCAAGCTCCACATTGGCTCCACACTGGTTCATTTTGAAGGAGGTCAAATGCTGGCCGGGAAAACCCTGAGCCCTCCAGGAAGTCCTTAGGAATAGTGGCCGCAGCCGTTCTAGAAAACTCAGGCAAGCTGGTTTCTGACCAAAGGTTAAAGGTCCGGTTAAAAGTGAAAGGTGTAGCCACCAAAAGGACAATTGGTGTCATGAGTCACCTGCCTACTAGGTAAAGCATTTTTCCCTCTGACGAATGTTCCTGTGGGGTCTTTGTGCTGAAGAGCCGTCTGTGGCTTGCTGGTTTGGAGAGTTCCGGCTTAGGAGCAATGGGAATGATGACCCCTGGGGCTGGGGGAGGGTGGGAACTGGGATAGTTCAGGATGTAGCTCTAGACAACCTGCATCCAGGATCCCCTAAGGATTCTTTTTAAGCCATCTGGATTGCTACAGAGTATGAAGGGCAGGGTGGGAGGCACGGGCTCACGAAATTGGAAAAGAACCCTAGGAACCCCATCCCATGCGGGCCACGGCGATGCTGAGGATTTCCTGCTGCCCTTTCGCTGGCTGTTCAGCTTGCTTCCTGTTTGCCAGTTTCTGGACCGGTACCCCCCCCCCCGCCCCCCCCCACGGGGTGTGTGGAGACAGACATCTGTGTACACCCATGACAACATTTAAGATACCTTCCCAGATGTGACGTCGCTGGGTCAAACACAGCATCTGCTTTTAAGCCGTGTAGAGACATCTCCAATCTCACACAAATGGGAAGCGAACAAAGTCCCGCCCCTGTGCTGTGTGAGAAGCTTGCGGTCCCTGGTCCCTTCGCTGTGAGCACCAGTGGGTGTGGTACCAGCAAAGTCGGTGTGATGTTAGGATGAATTTAGGTCCGTTTTTTTTTTTGTTGGTTCATTTCCAGGGAGGTTGGGAGGTTTTCCTGCTTGTCTGTCCTTTGTGGGCACCGCCCCCTCTCTCTCAAGATGCATTTTACTCACCATCCCAAGTGTCTTTTTTTTTTTTTTTTCCCAGACAGGGTTTCTCTGTGTAGCTTTGTGACTTTCCTGGAACTCACTTTGTAGACCAGGCTGGCCTCCAACTCACAGAGATCCGCCTGGCTTTGCCTCCCGAGTGCTGGGATTAAAAGCGTGTGCCACCGCCGCCCGACCATCCCAAGTGTGTTAATGTGCTTTTCTATTGTTGTGATAATGTCATGACCAAAAGCAACTTGGGGAGGGAAGGTTTATGCAAGCTTTGCAGCCTGTGGTCCATCATCCAGGGAAGTCAGGGCAGGAACTCAAGGCAGGAACCTGGAGGCAGGAACCGAAGCAGAGGCCATGGAGGGGTGCTGCTTACAGGTTTCTTCAGCCCACTTTCTTATACCATTCAGAACCAACTGCTCCAAGGTAGCATCATCCACAATGATCTAGCCTCTCCATGTCCATCATTAATCAAGAAAACACTCCATAGATATGCCCAAAGGCCAATTCCCTTTTTCCATGACAGCTGAAGAAATCAGAGCCCAGGTAACCCAGTCTTTAGGAGCTTCAAGCCAAGCTATGCCAGCTCTGATCTGGAGGCAGACATGAAATTTACTAAACTGGACAGTGAGTGAGCTACCGGATAGCCCCATTCTGGGGGATATGCTGCCTATATGGCGGCCTCTGCCCATGTGTGGTGCATGGCCTGGAACAAAGGTTGAGCATGACTCTGTGGGGGAAGGTCAGCTCTGGATGATTTGAGAGAGCCCAGTGCCCTCCTGGCTTCAAGCACATGGTGTAAAAAATCTCCTGTCACACCACCCTCTCTGGACACATTCTTGGTACCTGGGATTTCCTTAAACTGTTCACCCGTGGTTGCTGGGACAAAATGCCACAGCTGGGTGGCTCAGTCAACAGAGTTTTCTTATCTCCTTTTGGGGGATGAAAGTCTGAAAGCTTTGGTATCAGTAAGGCCCTGTTCCCACAGATGCACACAGGCCCCGCCAGGCCTCATGCAGATGTAGACCTTTGGCCAACAGCCTTTGGGACTCCTTGAATTGTGGACATGTCACTCTGCCCTTGGCCTTCATCTTCACACGGCTGTCTGTTCCCTTCATCTCTTCTTGCCATCTTTCTTCTGTGCATGTCCGGGTCTGTGTTGAAGTTTCCCCCTTCCTGAGGACACCAGTCATACAAGATGAGTGCCTTCTCTAAGGACCTCATCCTAACTTGTGTTCTCTGTGACCGACCGCCAAGTAAGATCCCATTCTTGGCTGTTGGGAGTTAGGGTGTCAAAGGCTCCTTTGGAGGATACTTTTCAACCCACAACAATGTCTCCTGAGCTGGGACGGAGAGCTGGGCCGTAGCTGGGAGGGTGAGACTGACCCAGACAACGTGGCCATTCATCCAATGCAGTCAGCTAGCTGTCTTTGGGCTGGTACTTGCTCTGCACAGAGGGGACAGGGAACACGCGGCTAAACTTTAAGTTTTATGTCACTCAACATCAATGCTCCCTGGCTCTCCCTCCCGGCACCCCCAAACTCCTCTGGTTCTCAGATGCAGATGCAGTGGCTGCGCAGATCTTGTCCCTGCTGCCTTTGAAGTTTTTTCCGATCATCGTCATCGGGATCATTGCCTTGATACTGGCGCTGGCCATCGGCCTGGGCAGTGAGTACCGTCCATTATTTAGTAGGTGCTCGAATACCTGCTCTGGCATTTAAACTTGCATGAGTCCCCCCACCCCCACCCTGTCTGCACTTGCTGTTGCCTGGCCTTAATTACCGGTGGGTGATGTCCTTTTGGTTTGAGGGCTACGGGTTTTCTCTGCCTGTGTGAATGTCAAGCCAGTGTGGGAGCGGGCGGGCAGGCAGGGGCTGCTGGCTGTGCTCCGGGCTCTGCCACCAGGGTACCTGCACAGTTAGAATTACTCAAAGGTAGCTGATGAAACAGGACTCTGGGATGGGAAGGGGGAGGCTGGGGTGGAGCAGACAAAGAACTCCATTCAAGCCATACCACGCACCCTGGCTATTTTTATAGGGAGGTATGTGGGGCTTTTGAGAAAGTGGGTCATAGGGAGGAAGGGGCTCTCTTAGAGCATATAGTTTCTCGTTCTCCCCTTCAAGTAACTTCAGCACAGGGCGGCACAATGTGCCTCCTGCTCAGCCATGTGCTCCACAGTTTATTGGCTTCAGGCCCAGAGTAAAAGGAAGCAAGGTGTTTGAAAGGTCTCAGTTGGGGCTCTTGCTGGGCTTGCTTGGTGTGTTGGCCACCGCCATGCCTTTTTGCTCTTGACTTTGAACCCCTAGAGTCCGAATTCACCCTGATTTGTGCTTCCCGGAAGTAGTGCGGCTGTGGGTGCAGCAGTCCTGCCCCTTGGAGTTCAGGACAGAAACGGGCCTGAAGGAAACAGGCTGCTGCCAGGGATGCAGTTTCAATGCAGGTTTCATTATTGATGGGCAAGTTCAAGGCCGTGCAGCAGGTGCCCAGCTGTTAGTGCCGCACCCGGAAGGGGCTGCTTGCTCGAATTCGCACTTTCCTCCCTTTGCCCAGTCCACTTCGACTGCTCTGGGAAGTACAGGTGCCATTCATCTTTCAAGTGCATCGAACTGACCGCTCGGTGCGACGGGGTCTCGGACTGCAAGGATGGGGAGGATGAGTACCGATGTGGTGAGTCGCACCCGTTCCCGGAAGGAAGCAACAGAGAGTGAACACAACCCAGCACTTGCCCTTCCGTCTGTGAGATGGATCCAGGGCGTAGCCATTGCCGCGCCCTGCCCTCAGCTGGGATGTGTCTAGCGAGGTTCTGGGAGGACCTTGTGTGTGCTTACATTCACTTGGGGGGACTAGACAGGCTCTGAGTTGGGGGGGGGTCTCAGGGTGCAGGCCACGGGGACTGCAGCATCTTGTGGGGGAGGGGCTGTGGGTGGGAGTGGGCCAGGTTGGAAGAGGGGCTGCTGCGTGGCGGGACTGGGGCTGCAGTCAGGCTCTGCCCGGCCTCAGCCTGCACGGGTCCTCACCGCCCTTCTCCCCACGCCTGGCCAGTGCGGGTGAGTGGCCAGAGAGCAGCGCTTCAGGTGTTCGCGGCCGCCGCCTGGAGGACCGTGTGCTCCGATGACTGGAAAACCCACCATGCCAAGGTTGCCTGTGGCCAGCTGGGGTTTCCCAGGTGAGTTAGGGCCAAACAGCAAGGGTGACAGATTTGCTCCTGGACAGTCAAGAGCTCTCTAGATGCGTTCACACGTCACACCTCATTCTTAGGACAACCTCGTGGCACTTGGACCTGTCTTCCTTCACAGAGAGCAAGACAAGGCCCGAGCAGCCAAGTGACTCCAAGTCACAGAACATTGTGTGTGAAGAGAGTTCTCAGGACTAGGCCAGGACTTTAGTTAGGTGCAAAAGCAATTTAGATCCTTGGGGCTGGGGCTCAGTTGGTAGAGCACTGACCTAGCATGCACAAAGCCATGGGTTCTGTTCCAGCACTGTAACAACCCGGCCTGGTGGCACACATGTAATCCCTGCACTGTTGGGGCAGAGGAGGGGACAATGTGTGTTCTAGGCCAGCCTGGGCTACAAGGAGAGTTTGGGACCAGCTTGAGCTGAATAGTGGGTTCCTGTCCAACAACAAAAACAAACCAACCAATCAACCAACCAACCAAACAAACAAACAAAAAAAACAAAGACAGCCAAACAAAACATGCAAACCATAAACAACAACAACAACAACAACAACAACACCCCCCCAAAAAAAAACAGTAACAGAAAGCAAATAGTTTGTAAGCCCAGAACTTCTGAGTGGAAAATAAATACTCTAGCTAGGTGCTTTGCAGCTTAAAAAAGTAGATATCGGGACACTGTTGCACATGGTCATGATGATCACATCCATGTCTGCACACACATTCTCAAGAGCCCCAGAGGATGGATGCAGTTATTCAAAACCACCCTTAGCCTTAGGAGACCATCTAAGACGGTGTCTTTCCATCTTCAGGGTTGGGAGTTGGCTGCTGGCTTTCCACACTGCAGCAGCATGCCTTTCCTAACTGAGGGCTCGCTCCCTTTCACGGCCGTCCCTCCTGACCCCTGCCTTGTTTCCCAGGGTGCCGTTACCTTTTGGCTTCTCAATACTGTAGGTCCTGGTTTACCACAGACAGGTTCCTAGGTTCCCACACTCATCTTAGGAACTGAGCAAGCTCAGTGGTAGCATTCTCAGAAGTACATCCTAGCCTGTAACCAAGGAAGCAAGGTCCTCAAAGCTACATGGTTACCATCTGTGGAGGATCTAAGCCAGTGTGATCCTAGATGCCCCAATGCTGAGGTCCCCCAGGCCTGCCTCCTCTGCATGCCATGCCTGCCTGGGTTCCGAAATAAGCTGCAAGTAAAATTCATTGATGGCTGCAAGAGTCACTCAGAGACAATGTTGAGAATTATGTAGCTTTACGCCTTAGAGAAGAGAACATTCAAACAGCATAAAACACACTCATACACGCACACATGCGAACACACACACACACACACACACACACACACACACACACACAGCCCCAGTTTCCCCATCAGGTATCTCTGTTTCCTGTCAGTCTCTTTCTCATTCCTCCTCTTCTCTTCCGGAATATTCTCCCCTTCCAAATCCCTGCCCTTGGCCATATTGTCCAGACACACTCTGCTCAAGTCCTCTGTGCACCTTGCGGACCCTGGATAGGAACTTCAGGTCTTCGGGCACGTGGGAGTCACCTGATAGGGTGGGCAGCTCCTGGTTCTAAAGCCCATCCTAGCCTCCATTCCTCTCCTCTGAGAGGATGGTAGGGACTCAGCTTGTCCCTGTGCCACTTTCTCCGGCACCATGAAAACATCACCCCCACCACCCCCACTGCCCCAGTCTCTCTGACTTCCTTCCGTGTTCTTGTCTATCCTTTCCTCCTCTCCCTTTAGAAGTTCCCCTCCTCTGCCACATCTGTCTCTTATCTCAGGAACAGCAGCAAATAAGTGAGCAAACAAACAAACAAACAAACAAACAAAAAAACAAATCAAAAACCAAACCAGACAGTCCAGATAGTTGGCTCAAGTCTTGGTGCAGATGGAGGCCAGTCTCGTGAGACTTGCCTAGTCTCCTCCCTTAGAATGGACAATGCCAGCGCCCACCTTGAAAGGCTGAGGGAGCTCAGTGGTCACTAGAGTGATCATGGCCGTGGTTGGGGTGGCTGTTACTCCGAGGTGATCTGTGGGTTCCACTTGTGACACATAGGCTCCTTCTGCATTTCGTGAGGTCATCACCCTGCCCGTCTTCCCCATGACCTGACATCCTAGCAAGAGCCGGCTCCTTCACATCAAGGCAGCCTACTGCAACCTCCCCTGGGAGGAAATGCCTGGAAAACGTCCTGGTGGTGTTTTCTTCAAACCCATGCTTGGCTGAACACTGCACTCTACTTACATGAGTCTCTGTGACACTTAACAGCAATTGGATGGCATCCTGTGGGACAGACTGCTGCCACCTGTAGTACACTTTGTTCCCCACCTTCTTTGAAGACTCCTTAAATAATTCTCCTTCTCCTTCTCCTTCTTCTCTTCTTCCCTTCTTCTTCTCTTCTTCCCTTCTTCTTCTCTTCTTCCCTTCTTCTTCTCTTCTCCTTCTCCTTCTCCTTCTCCTTCTCCTTCTCCTTCTCCTTCTCCTTCTCCTTCTCCTTCTTCTCCTCCTCCTCCTCCTCCTCCTTCTTCTTCTTCTATTGCTGGGTATGTGCTGACATACTCTACCCTCTTCTGGTCTCTTTAATTCCATCTTCTGCACCACAAATGTATATACCCGTCTCCTGACTGAGCCCATTTACTTGACCCCAGGGTCCTGGAGTCACTGCTTTCTTTCCATGAGTGCTGGGCAAAGTGGGTCAGGCTCTCATACTCCCAGAACTCCTGGCCCTCGGGAGTTAGATGTCTAGCTGCCTCCCCTGAGGCTTGGCTCCAGCAAAGCCAAGTGCATCAGAGTAGGGTGGGTGGGGACTACCTAACTGTGGCAGGAAGTGGTCTTTCTTTGTGGCTGGAGCAGGGTGGGTGGGCAGGCCAGGCTGTGGACTGGGGGACAGCAAGCAGGTCGCCAGGCCACACCCAGCCTGGAATGCCTGGCTAAGGTGTATGCATTTCATCAGCAAGATAAAGCCTTTGATGGTTTGGGGAGGACCCAAGGAGGTCCCCAAAGTGGGCTGCCTGTAACCTGGTGAGTGTGTGTGGGGTGACGGATATTTCAGAGTCTCCATGACTGTTGGGTCTGGGTTTCTGATGTGCCTGCAGCTATGTGAGCTCAGACCACCTCAGAGTGGACGCACTGGAGGAGCAGTTCCAGAGCGACTTTGTGTCCATCAATCACCTCTTGCCAGATGACAAGGTGACCACGCTGCACCACTCTGTGTATGTGAGGTAAGCCGTTCGATAGGGGCTACTGCTGTCTGCGTCGGTGCTGAGTCACAAGGCTGGGTTTGTGAAGCCGTGGTGCACTCTGGGAGGGGGAAGAATGTCACCTCCACGAGCAAGGGCGGAGCTCACTGCTGTGGTTAGAACGGTGGTGTCTAAGCTAGGATGCAGGGGTGAAGCCCCAACCCTGGAGAGTAGGGTTCTGTCAAGAGAAGGAAGGAAGTACAGTAGAAGAGCAACAGTGATGCCCAGTGATGGACAGGGATGTCTTCAGGCCAGTGCTGGGCCTGCCTCACAGCAGGGAAGTGTGTATGTGCGCGTGCGTGTGCGTGTGCGTGTGCGTGTGCGTGTGCGTGTGCGTGTGCGTGTGTGTGTGTGTGTGTGTGTGTGTAAGCAAACAAGCAGGGAAGGGAAGAGAAAACTAGACAGCATCTTTTACAAAGTGCTTTCACATTCACCAGTTACTCACACCCCACCCCCAACCCCCACCCCTGAAACTCTGATAAGGAAGAACCAGGTTCCCTTAGCAACAGTCAGATGCCCAGATCGGAGACATCTCCCTATCGGGGCCCAGGCTGAAGCAGGGAGAAAAGACCACAGGTGCACTGCAGCCAGGTTTTCCTCCGGACACCCAGGCCCCCAGGTCCAACGTGTGTGAGCCCCGTTCTGTGAACAGCAGCTTGTTGGCCTGTCCATGAACTGTTCTTTCCACTGTAGGGAGGGCTGTGCCTCGGGCTATGTGGTCACCTTGAAGTGCTCGGGTAAGTGTCTAAATACGTAGGGAGCCACATGGAAGCCTGCCCTTGTGGAGTCAGGTTCTCCCTTTGGGGACAGTTCAAGACCACATCTCCTAGATGCCAGTGTGGGGCTAGGCGCCGGGAGGTCACTGATGGGCAGGGTGAGCGCGCCTGCTCTCTGAAACAGTCCTCCCACAAACCCCACACATCTCAGTCTTTTGTGTGCCCGACCCCATGTGTGCCCGACCCTCTCCTGCTGGGTGGGGGACAGGGACATTGCCAGGTAGGAGATTTAGGGTGATGACAGCATTACCCATAAACCCCTGTTCTCCCTCTGTAGCCTGTGGCCTGAGAACTGGCTACAGCCCCCGCATTGTGGGTGGAAACATGTCCTCGCTCGCCCAGTGGCCCTGGCAAGTCAGTCTCCAGTTCCAGGGGTACCACCTATGCGGGGGCTCTGTCATCACCCCTCTGTGGATCGTCACGGCTGCACACTGTGTCTACGAGTGAGTGCCTGGGCCTGCTACTGTGGAATCTGCTCTTCCAAGAGCCTTACCTAGTCCTAGTCCTGGGTCAGATAGAGATGGGGTGATCTAGGGGTGAGGGCAGGTTAGGAAGGCAGGAAGCCAGTCACCCTAAAGCTACATGTAGTGTAAATGCCTGCCTTTCTTAAAGTGAACCTATCTCTGTGTCTGGGAATGACATGAGCCGGGCTGGCACAGAGAGGGCAGAAAAAGGAGGAAGATTAGGGAGGAAAGAGACCTTGAAATGAGGTCCCAGGCCTTCCTGTAGCTCACTACTGTCATCATGTTATGGCACAGCAGGGTCCCATGGGGTGGGAGTGCAGGGCACCCAGAGAACACTGAGCCTCCATCAAGCTGGGTCTACCAGGAGTTTAGATGGCAAGGAAGCCATAGAAAGCACCTCAAACCCAGTGGCGGGTTCTCTTTCTATCTCCTGTTTCGGTTACTGTCTAGTGGAGACCCCCCCCCCCACACACACACAGCCTCTGCGGGGAGCAAAGCTGAGCCCGACCCTCAAACGCCTATCTCTCGGGTGGTGTGGAGAGAATGGCTTGTCTGGGATGTACATGGGGCGTGCTCTGTGTTCCTGCAGGACTTGGGACGGTGGTCAGTGTGGGGCACAGATGTGCGGGACCTTGGTGTCTCCCACCTGGTGACATCTCTCACTCTCTCTCTCTGGGCTCTTGGGACACTAGAACTCAGCATGGCTGGCTCTGTCCTGAGCCCCACCTGTCTGTCCTTGCATTTCAGCCTGTACCACCCCAAGTCCTGGACTGTCCAGGTGGGTCTTGTGTCCCTGGTGGACAGTCCTGTGCCCTCCCATCTGGTGGAGAAAATCATCTACCACAGCAAGTACAAGCCAAAGCGGCTGGGCAACGACATCGCCCTCATGAAGCTGGCTGAGCCGCTCACCTTTGACGGTATGTCTAGGCTTCTGCGCCAGACTGTTGCTTTGAACTCGTTTCAAGAGCATTGGTGGTTACTTGTTGAAGCATTGGTCTAATGGCTGCTGCTTTACTGTCCTTGCCAGAAAATTCTGGTGTCTGATTCAGCTGGGGATCGACACCAGTGCATTATCTTTGCTTGTTGAAGTTGTGTGCATGCATGCACACATGTATGTGCATGCACATGGAGCCCAGAGGCCAACACCAACAACCTTGGGGTTGTTCCTAACCTGCCCTCACCCCCAGGGACTTTTCACCTTGTTTTTTTGGGGGAGCAGGGTCTCTCACTGGCCTAGAGTTACCTAATAGGCTGCCTGGCCAATAAGTCCCAGGGATCCTTCTGTCTCTGTCTCCCCAGCATGGGTAACAGGCTCAGGGCCATTACATCTGGCTTTTTACACGGGTTTCACAGACCAAACTCAGGTCTTCATGGCTGTGTGGCAAGTACTTTGTTAACTGAGCCACCTTGCCAGCCCAAGTGATGTGTGTCTTCAATCTGAGCATGTTAGGAGACTGAGCCCTCTCCTAAGACTTCAGTCCTCTTACCTTCTTTAGATCCGGTTTGTTGCTCTCGACTGTGGCTCTGGCCTTAATTTCATCTCACAGCCTTCCTGGTTCTTCCCTGGTCTCTCAGTCTGGTCTGGTACTGGCTGCATGTAAGAGCTTCTCTAGGCCAGGCCACCTGGTGCCTCTAGGTGGTGGGAGAGAGTCACCTGCCTTTAGGGACCCAGAGCAGACAGCACGTTCCTGTCCTGGTGTTTGCTACATGGAGCCTCTTGAAGGGCATCTCCAGTGCAAAGAGCAGGGTCCCAGCCTGGGGCAGCTTGAGGGCTTGGCAGGAGCCTCCCTCTTCCTCAGCATCTGGAAGTTTCCAGGCCTCTTCAGCTCCCTGGGCGTTCTTAGAACCGATCTCTCCCCTTCTTTCCAATTCTGCCACCTCCAGTGACTGAGGCTGTGAGTTCCAAGCACAGCCCTCTGGCTGTTATAGAAACCCCCGCAGAGTCAGGCCTGCTAGACCCCTCTGGCATTCTGTGAGTGGTACAGGACAAAGGAAACATTGGCTCCTTCCTGACCTTCTGAGGATAAGCACAGTGGAGGGCAGGCAGGGCTGTTTCCCAGGTGGACTCCTCTTCTCTGCAATGTGAGATTTCTAGCACAGCAGAGAGAAGAAACTTCGGGGGGGGGGGGTTTGAGGGCTGTTACTTGCTAATTATTTTTGGTGGTATTTGAGTCTAGAAAAAGGAGGTGTCTCTAGCTGTACTTGGCTAGAGAGTTAACTATGTCTCCACCCCTCTCCTCCTTTCTATTATCACCACGCGGGATGGGGGACATCTCAAGGACTGCTCACATGAAAGCCCGGGGCACATGCAGTCACTTGGCTTTGCTAGGCTCTCAGTGGCACAGCCTAGGTACAGGTCAGTCTGCTGTCAGAAAAAATACCTGGGGCAGCAGGAACATCCACAGTGTGATGTTCTGTGTATACACTTGAAGTCTGGACCAGGAGTGGCCAGCTCTGTCCCAAGGGCCAAGTGTGACTCAATGCACATTTGAGCAGGTAAAATCTTGTCATAAATCGGGGCTGGAGCGATGGCTCAGAGGTTAAGAGCACTGGCTGCTCCGCTGCTCTTCCACAGGTCCTGAGTTCAATTCCCAGCAACCACATGGCGGCTCACAACCATCTGTAGTGAGATCTGGCGCCCTCTTCTGGCCTGCAGTCATACATGCTGTATACATAATAAATAAATCTTAAATAATAATAATAATAATAATAATAATAATAATAATAATAATAATCGGGGCTGGAGAGATGGCTCAGCGGTTAAGAGCACTGACTGCTCTTCCAGAGGTCCTGAGTTCAATTCCCAGCACCCACATGGTGACTCACACCCATCTGTAATGAGGTCTGGCATCCTCTCCTGTATACATAATAAATAAATAAATCTTAAAAAAAAAAATCTTGTCATAAATCCACCAGCTCCTTTTGTTTACATCTCCTGTGGATCCAGCAACAGTGATGACATGTGATCACATGGCCCACAAGCCTGAACTATTTACTATCCAGGGTTTTATAGCCAGGGCTTGCTGCTGGCTCTGGACACACACCACAGTCTAGTGCTACACTTGAGTTTTATAGACTCTGGGGAATGAGTAGGTAGGGCCTCTGCTCTGAGCTGGCTGCCTGCCATGACCAAGGCCCAATCCCTCCCTAGAAGATGGGTTCAGAAAGTCAGTTGATTTCTGGGACAGTGGCTTCAGGAACTTCACATCATTATTCCCTTTCTAACAGAGACTATCCAGCCTATCTGTCTGCCCAACTCTGAAGAGAACTTTCCTGACGGGAAACTGTGCTGGACATCGGGATGGGGGGCCACGGAGGATGGAGGTCAGTGGGCTGAAGCCAGAGGCTGGGAGGGCCCCTCCAATGTTCTGTCATGATGTCGCCTTAGGATACTTGGAGGTCCCAGCTCAGGGTCAGTGCAGACCAGCTGTTCACAACAGCAGTCTGCTGAGTAACCATGGGCCACCGTGGCGTCACTCATCTTTGGACAGTGTGACGTTGTGAGGCTTCTCTAGGGAGAAATGGGCTATGAGGGAGAAGTGTGGGTACTTGTCCATGGAGAGGCCCTCACCCACCCATCCTTCCTGCCTCCTCTCACTCTGCAAATCAAGTGTATGAAGCACACCTAGGTGACTCCCCAAGTTTTATTCAGCATGCAGGGATACAGGGTAAAGAACTGATGTCTGTGAGAGCTGGCAGGGTGTGCTACTTTCTCCTGTGAGCATGGAGTAGAAGGTACTACCCAGGAGCATCCACTGTGCTGGTAGTGGCAATACTGTCAGTCACGGTCACATACCTGCCAGGGACATCTGTGTCCCTTGCATCAAGAGTGCAGACATGGTCTCGAGGCTCAAGGTTCCCAGCACTGACTTTCCTTTATGCATTTTCTGGACTCAGGCCAGTCTGCTGTCACTAGAAACTGTAGCAAACTACTGTGGCCTGGATGGCTCAAAAGGCTCAAAAGTGCAGATGCAAGTCTTCTCACAGTTCTAAAGTCTAAGGTCAAGGTGTCCTCAGGCCTGAGGTGGGGTCTGTCCCAGCATCTCCCCAGCATCTGGTGGCTCCAGCCATTCTCAGGTTCCTTGGCTGGCTGATGCGTCTCTCCAGTCCCAATGGCTAGATGGTTGAGTTTTTGTTGTTTGGTTATCCATCCCCCCCCAACCCCCCCCCCCCACGCAAGGTGTGTTCTGGGTATTGAACCAACCACTTTACCAACTGATCCATCTCCTCAGTCCCTTGATCCCTGTCTCCATGGCATCAGTTGTCGGATTTAGAACCTGCCCTACACACAAGATGACCTGGCCTTGAGATCATACTTCAGCAAACCCAGCAGAGTCTGTTCCAAATAGGGTCACTTGTCTTGGTTACAGACAGACAAATAAGAAGGGAGCTATAATTCAACCCATGCAGGAAGTCCCATGTTTCCCTTAGGAGACATATTCATTCAGGGTCTCCCTGCAGCCCAGGCTATCCAGGAACTCACTATGTAGCCCAGGCTAGCCATGAACTTCCTAGAAACCCTCCAGCTTCAGCCCCTCAGACTCTGGGATTCAATGCCAAGCTCGTGTTCATTACCTTCCAGTCATAGCTCAGAAGTCACTAGCCAGCCTCAGGGGTCTCTGGTGCCGGCAGGCTGGTTCCTCAGGTGGCTCTGATGACCCCTTACCTTTGCCTCTACACTTCTGGGCTGGTGGCCTCGGCCGCATCTTCAAGGCCGACGGGCTGATCTGATGCTAAGCCCTGCTCCTCCTCTGACGGTGCCTTCTTTGAGTCCTTGTAGTTGACATGGGTCTACCCACATCATCCAGGCTATCTCATGCCCGTGCCCTCGAATGTCTGCCCGGGAAGTCCCTTGGCTAATGGCCTGGCCACAGGTCCAAGGCCCACACCTATATTTGGAGGGACACATTTCTGCCGACCGCATACAGCCCTGTCCGGATGTGTGTGGCCTCCCGGAGCCCGAGTTTCCCTTTGCTAGTGTGGATTGACTGGGGTGGGTCAAGGGCTTGGCTGGCTGCGGGAAGAAGCATTTGTCTACTGTTTGCCACTTCTCTTCCCCTTTGGGTCTCTTAGGGGTGTAAGTGGTCCTGATGCAGAGGTGAGAACACACAGCCCACTCAGCAGGGACACTCTGGGCCCCATGTGCTCCGTGACAGTCTGCCCTTCCAGCTACAGACCTGGTGTTCGCTCTTGTTGCTCTGTGTCGGGTGGCGTGTCCCTGGCCCCCCCTTTTCCTTCCGTCCCTGTCTCTCTGTTTTCTAAGCCAGACTCCTCACTGCACATTTCTTCATTACTTTGAGGCAGGTGACGCCTCCCCTGTCCTGAACCACGCGGCTGTCCCTTTGATTTCAAACAAGATCTGCAACCACAGGGATGTATACGGCGGCATCATCTCCCCGTCCATGCTCTGTGCAGGCTATCTGAAGGGCGGTGTGGACAGCTGTCAGGTAAAGGACAGCCAGTTACCCTGGGGGCCAGGGCAGCAGGCAAGGGTCCAGTACAGTGACCCAACCCACGGGACAGGCCACTGCCAGCTTCCCTGTGACTGAACAAAAAGCAAATTTACATGGCATAAGGGAGAAATTTGCTTAAGATATCCCTGGCTTTCCTGGTGGCCCGGCCTGTGTTTACCCAGGCTCCCAGTTTTCCAGGGCATGGGGTGTTGCCTTTCCTAATCCTCTCCAGCCCGATTCTGAGTGTGTAGGGGCCCAACTAGAGGCACAAGCAGGTGTGAGCTGATGGATCTGGGCCCCCAAAAGCCAGAGTGGGTGAGACTGCGTACCACCTGTGGGCACAGTGAGTTAGTTCTGTCTCATGCACACCCTTCCTCTTCCAGCTCCAATGGGTCACACAGGCCACCGTTGACCTTCCTGGTTTAGTGTTTGGAATCTGGAGGGAGACACTGCTAGAGGGAACCCTTCCCATACAGGCCAGGGGCCACCTCTTGAGCACAGCAGAGTCTATCCTACAAGTACACAGGGAGAGTGTGCCCCGTGGTGTCACCCACCCGCCACGTGAAAAGGGAAGTCAATGTCACCAGCCCAGTTCTCTTGACCTTTGCCTCCTTCTGCTCTCCAGGGAGACAGTGGGGGGCCCCTGGTGTGCCAGGAGAGGAGACTGTGGAAGCTGGTGGGTGCAACAAGCTTTGGCATTGGCTGTGCCGAGGTGAACAAGCCTGGAGTCTACACCCGCATCACCTCCTTCCTGGACTGGATTCATGAACAGTTGGAGGTGGGTGGAGTGCCCCAGCGGACGTGAATGTGACTCTGCAGCTCACATGTCCCCTGCACCCAGTGTGACCGCGGCTCTGCCCAGGGGAGCCAGGAGAGGATGGAAAGGCTGTTGATTATGCACTGATTTGGCAACTCTGGGTATCGGCCCCAGGGCACAGCTAACCCCTGTGGGTGTGACCCAGGCATGCAGGGGAGGGACAGGAAGAAAGGACCTGCTTGACTCAGCAGGGAAAAAGCTGACCAGTGGGTGAGGTGTCCCCTGGGAGTGGGGGTGATTTTGGGATGCCATATGTGCATGGAGCAGAGGGGGGGGGTTGAGTCTAGATGAGGTAGAGCCAGGTGAGGGGGCCGGCCCCCAATGCCCCTGTGAAGTTGATGCCTTGCTCAGAGTCAGAGTGGTCCAGAGTTCTTAAGCAGGAGGGGTCTGAGTAGCTTTGCTTCAGGGAAGGGGACGCAGGACAGGCCTACAGAGCCTCCTGGTCAGCAGGAAGAAGACAGGGAAACCCTAAGCCACCAGGGAACTGAACTCACTGGGCACCAGGCACAGAACCAGTGTTCTTAGACACAGTCCTTGCTGTAGGGAGAGCCAGATGCCCACGACCCCTCTCCCTCTGAGTGGGAAAGGGCTGGAGGCCAAGCCAGGGACCAAGCACCAGGCGAATATTTACTAACTTTCTCTCGGACTGGCCTCATGTCACCCCCTAGTCCAGTTTCAAAGATATTTTCACGTGACATAATAGGGGTGAAATTTATGTGGCATAGACAAACTTTCAAAAGACAACAGTCCCAGGGCGTTTGACACACTAACGTGTGCGGCCACCACCTCTGTTCAGTTCCAAAAACTTTCCTATCATCCCAGTGGAAAACCATGTCCCTTCCTGCCCTCCAGTCTCCAGCGATCAGCTGTGGGCTTCCAAAACCTTATATATATCGTGTGTGTGTGTGTGTGTGTGTGTGTGTGTGTGTGTGTGTGTGTGTGTGTGTGTATATATGTGTGTGTGTGTGTGTGTGTGTGGTGTTTGATACAGGGTCTTATGAAACCCTGATTGGCCTCTAAAACTCATTGTGTAGCTGAGGATAATCTTCAACTTCTGATTTTCCTGCCTCCACCTCCCAAGTGTTGGGATAACAGGCATGTACCAACATACTTGGTTAATGGGATTCTGGGATTCAAACCTGGGGCCTCATGCATGCTTGGCAGGTACTCCACCACTGAGCTACACCACAAACCTTTAAAAAAAGATTATTTAATTAACTAAAGATCTTATTTTAATTTTTGATGGTGTGTGTGTGTGTGTGTGTGTGTGTGTGTGTGTGTGTGTGTGTGTGTGTGTACAGTGTCTTCCAAGGTCAGAAGAGGAGGTCAGATTCCCCTGGAACTAGTTACAGGCTGTTGTAAACTGCTCAATGTGGGAGCTGGGAATGAAACCCAAGTCCTCTACAGTATAGAGTAGTACGTGCCCTTAACCTCTGAGCCCCCTCTAAGATCTTTTTAAAGGAGCTCCTGTCATTTGAAGCAACTGACTAAGAAAAGCTACCTTCAATAACTGCCTTAGCACTCCTCAGGCGTTCATTTCTGCTTCTTTTCTTTTTAAAGTTTTATCTTTAGTTTATGTGCATGAGTGTTTTGTCTGCAAGTCTGTCTGTGCACCATGTGTGTGCCTGATGCTTGTGGAGGCATCAGATCTCTTGAGACTGGAGTTACAGACAGCTATGAGCTGCCATGTGGGTGCTGGGAATCAAACCCAGGTCCTCTGCAAAGACAGCCAGTGCTCTTAACCTCTGAGCCATCTCCCCAGCCCTAATTACTATTTCTTCATTATTGGTTTAACTCAAGGTTCCTTCCTTTCTTCCTTCCTTCCTTCCTTCCTTCCTTCCTTCCTTCCTTCCTTCCTTCCTCCCTCCCTCCCTCCCTCCCTCCCTCCCTCCCTCTCTCTCTTTCTTTCTTTTTTTTGCTTTTTTTGTGACAGTTTCTCTGTGTAACCTTGGCTGTCCTGGAACCTGCTCTGTAGACCAGGCTGTCCTTGAACTCACAGAGATCTGCCAGCCTCTGCCTCTCAAGTGCTGGGACTAAAGGCGTGCACCACCACTGCCCAGCTTTCTTTTTCTTCTTTAGCACTGAGGACTGAATGCAAGGTCTTGTGTGTGCTAGGTGGGGTTCCACCACTGAGCTGCACCTCAGCCCTCGGCTTCTTCATTTGAATTTCAGCCTTAAATGAGGCAGGGCACTGAACAGGGTTCCTGTGTTGGGGTGGGGTAGGGGTGGAGCAGTGGCCGGTGACGCCTGGGCTTGTTCGGGTCTTAGCATCACTAATCATTTCTGCAGCCTTGCTTCTACCTACTGTGCATGATGGAGCCCATTAGGGCTGGCCCAATGGAGGCCTGGCTTGCTGGTCACAGGCCGGCAGGAAGCCGCCTGTGGGAGCAGTCTGCGGGTACCACAGTACAGCATTTAGCCAACACTTGTCTTCCCTTTGCTAGATATGGAAATGGGCATCTGAGCAGGTGATTTCCTTGTGCAGAGGCCACTGACACTGTGGGATGAGACTAGGATGCAGACAGACCACGTGCACACGGGAGGTGTAGCAAGCCATCGAGGAACTTCAGAAAGCAAGTGTGGCCGGGCAGCGGTGGGGCACGTCTTTAATCCCAGCACTCGGGAGGCAGAGCCAGGTGGATCTCTATGAGTTCGAGGCCAGCCTGGGCTAGAGAGTAAGATCTAGGACAGGCACCAAAACTACACAAAGAAACCCTGTCTCACCCCCCCTGGCTCCCCCCAAATGTAAGCAAGTGTGCCTTCATGTGGGTGCTCTTGGGACACAGCTCCCACGTGACTGAGCCTCTTCTGAAAGTCTAAACCACCAGAGGTTACAAAGCAAAGGAGCAGCTCCCCTGGCGCTTCACACTGTTGAGGAATATGGGGCAGCCAGGGAGGGGCTCAGGCTGGGAAGTCATGACGGGGGCGGGGTCCTAGACAGTAGGCTCTCTACCTTGTGATGGGTCTTAGAATCTTCCTCATGATAGATGGGGATCTTGGACAAGTGAGGGCTCCCAAGTCAGTAAGGACACATATGAAGAGTACAGCCAAACCCAGACCAGGACCTCAGCATGACTGCCCAGAGAGATAAACAGATACCAAACCTGGGCTCGACAAAGCCTTCCTTGACTGCTTGTTAAAACTGAAGACCCTCGGTTCCCTCTTCCTGCCAATCCCACTGGGGATTTGGGGCAGGGACCAGGTGATCTTCATGTTTTGAATACCATTTTAGGAAGGCTGGCGTACCGAGACTCCCCGGCCCTCAGGAAAAGGCCTGGCAGTTTCTGGAATTGTCTGTTCTCTAAGGGGTTTTGCCACAGTGGCTGACTAGGCTTTCTGAGGGTCTCTTCAGGGCGTCTCAGCCATCAGCTGTCCTGACCACTGAGGACCTGCAGGAGATGTCACCTGCCACACACACCTGCTTCCAAATAGCACAGGGAAGAGCCGGAAGGCCCCTCCCTTCTGTAGGAGGAATCCCAGGTTTGACTTGTCTCACTGGAGGCCCTTCCAAGAGTCCCTTCACCTGGCCGCACTGTCCTACCTGTCAGCCCCAGAGATCCCCATCCTATCGTCTCCATTCTGCTCCTCACATTTCCCTATCCAGTTAGGGCTTAAAATTGTTCTGGCTCATATTAGGCCTCAGGGATATGCAGCTGAGACCCAGCGCCTTCACATAGCAGTCTGGGGACAATCTTAGGCAGAGATGAAAAGTGCAGAGGCCTTTCTGGGTGGGAGCCCTCCAGAGCTGGCAGCCTCCTCCTTCAGAGACCCAGATCTCCACAGTGACCATTGGTAACATTTAATGGGAAATCTAGGTGCCCATGGAGTCACAGTGTCCAAGACATGGCTTGCAGGGGGAAAATGATGACCTCTGTTTTTACTTTTAGAGAGACCTGAAGACTTGAAGAATGAGGAACAAAGCCAGAGCCTGAGCTCCTGAGGGTGGACGCAGCCCAAGCCTTCCCTGGACTCCTGTGTGGGCATGGTGGACGCGAGTACCGGCATTTAGTGCCCTGCCCATTGCACTGAGGCGGAGCCAGCAGGAAGAGCACCCTCGCTACCATTGATACCCAGAGCTGTCTGCTGCTAAAGCCTCTGGCCAGTGGGGTGTGGGGATGGAATGACCTCGGAGCTTTCTGTGCTTCTCAAGGACAAAAGCACCCCCACTCAGGCACCTTTCCCGGCCACCCCCCTAGATTTCCCCTGAGAGCCGCTGCCAACACAGGCAACCTCTTGTGCAAAACCACTGACGCCAGTTGGTGCAGACCCGAGGCGGGAACTGCTGGTGTGGATTGTTACAGATGTAGTCACCTCTTCCTTCTGTCCCCGAGCTCCAGTTCTCAAGCCAAACTTCTGCTTCCAACAGCCCACTTCAGGAGTGGGGCAACTTAGCTTGTGAATCAGTCAGTCTAAGGTTTTGCTCCACTATCTTCTCACAGCATTTGGTGCTTGATGAACTGCTAGCTTCTGGAAGGTGCCCCTTCTTCTCTCAGCGTGGCTTGTCCTTGGGCTTACGTGAATGAGTTGTGGCGGCTCGCAGAAACCGCCATCATGGGCTCGCATCGAAAGACCACCCTACACATGTCAGGAGTCTGCATTTTCCTGTTAGAACAGGTTTCTCAGCACATTAGAAGTATCCCATGTTGCATCATGGGACTCACAAGCAGAGTAAGGGACACAGGTCTGGGCAAAGACAAGACCAGAGGACACTAAAAGCAAGCTGAATAGAAGGTCCTATGTCATCGAGGGTTGTCACACCTCCATGCACTCTGCTAATGTACTATAGCTGATGGCATCTGGGCCCCTCCTGCATGGCCCACAATCCTATGGTCCCCATATTATCCAGTAACAGAGGAGGGTTACATGGGAAGCAGCCATTGGTCATTCAAGCTTGTCACAGATTAGGTCTTCAGAATATGAATCAGTTGCTTTGTGGCTGTAACAGAAAACGTGTGTGTGTGTGTGTGTGTGTGTGTGTGTGTGTGTGTGTGTGTGTGTAGGGGAGACACCACCAAAACAAACTGCCACATGGCCACTGTGCTTGGACTCATCCCTGTCCAGATCAGAGCCACTACTCAGATCTCTGTGACTAGAATAAGGGTCCCGAGGCCCCCTGTGGGTGCCCGAATCTTCGGCTGACTCTGAGCCCTGTAGCGATGGTCCTTTTCCCTGTGCACACGTCTCTGTGGTGTAGTGTATCTACTAGTCACAGGAAGAGATGGACAATCATAACTCATCATGCAACACGGCAGCTCTAAAACCATATGGCGATCAATACTGAGTGCAAGTGTGGTGTTCTAGGGCCTCTCTCTGCTACGCCCCAGTTACAGACAACACCACACCGTGCTTTGCATTTGGAGGTCTTTATCATCCATGGCAGACCTCAGATGCTGTGGCTTGAACAAACCGGATGCATAGACAGCTCAGCAGTGAAGAGCGCTGGCTGTTCTTGCAGGGGACTGAGGTCTGTTCCCAGCTCACAACTGCCTGTGACTCCAGTTCCAGGGTATCTGACACCCTCTTCTGGACTTCAACCGTCCCAGGCACATATGTGCACACACACATGCAGAGACATACATACACATAAATAAATATAAGATAAATCTTAAAAAAATAGATGTCTTAGTTAGGGATACTATTGCTGGGTGGAACATCATGACCAGGGAGGGTTTATTTCATTCACAGTTCATCATCAAAGGCAGTGAGGGCAGGAACTCAAACAGGTCAGGAACCTGGACGCAGGAGCTGATGCAGAGGACATGAAGGGATGCTGCTTACTGGCTTGTTCCTCATGGCTTGCTCAGCCTGCTTTCTTATAGAACCCAGGACCAAGAGCCCAGGGGTGGCCCCACCCATGATGAGCTGGGCCCACCCCAACCAACCACTAATTAAGAAAATGCCCTACAACCAGATCTTCTGGAGGCATTTTCTCACCCGAGGCTCCATCCTCTCTGATAACTCTGGCTTATGTCAAGTGGACATTAACTAGCCAGGACACTATATAAAGCAGACGCTGCAACCGCGGGGAAGTCAAGCCATGCCCCTCACAGCCTCTCCCATTTCAGGTGGAGAGCAGGCAGGGCAGGCCTACAGTGGCCTCAAAGTTCTTCTCTCTCCTCTTTGCAGCCAAAGGCAGCCACAGGCTTCCCACGCTGCAGCTTCACCCTGCTGTCTGGTGCCTTCTTGCCCGATTCCTAACACTCAGGCTGGGTCCCTGGTGTGGTATGAAACCCTCACCCCCCAACCTCTAAGAGCCGGAAACTCCCTCTGAGCTCTGAAACTGGAGGCTCTCTCCCTTCAGAACCCGGTCCGCGGCCGTAACTATCGTAGTAAGCCTCTTCTGAAGGGTAATTTGTCTCAGCTCCTAACCACAAACTTGGAATATCTTTATATATATACCTATAACAGTTGCAAAGTAAAAGAAGGGCCATAGACTCCACCCAATAAATGAAGTAACTATTAACTGACAAGTGGGTGGGTAGCGTATACGGCGTGGACACACTGGACAGAGGCACGATTTATGTCTGGGGGATAGGGAAAGGCATGAGGTTTCCTCATGCTACTCAGAACAGTGTGTAACTGAAGACTCACTTAGGAGTCAATTTCTGGAATTTCCCATTTAATACCTTTGGACTACATACAGTTGACCTGTTGTAACCGAAACTTTGGAAAGAGAAACCTTAGATAGGCGCTGAGGACATTTTCGTTTCAGGTGGGTTTTGCCAAATTCTCTGTGAAAACACTGCTGGTTTCCATGTGATATAACCAAGCTGTGAAATGAGGAGTTTTCCTAAGTAGCCACCTCACTGGAGACAGCCGGACTGTGAGGCTGGCAGCAGGACATGTCCAGCCTGCTGTGACTTCATGCTTCTCTGACCACTGTTGTTTTGATGCTTACACTCCGGTCTTGGATGGTAAGACAGCACCCAGCTAACCAGCATGGACTGGGCACCTGCTCCAAGCCCTGCACATTCAATGTGCTCACCTCTGTCACTGAACTCCTGCTGTGACAGCTGGGCTGCTCCTTGGGAGCCATTCCTGGCAGTCACCTTTACTTCCTTTCTCTTGGCCCTTTCCAGGCCTCCCTCCCTCCCCAAGCCATCCCCTCCCCAAGCCATCCCTTCCCTAAGCCTGCCCCACCTCAAGGCCTGCTTCATCTCCCTAGTTCCCTGCTAACCTTAGGTCCCTTTCTTTTTGCCTGGCACTCAAAATTCTAAAGAAGAAACCTGCCTAAAGGATCAATATGCTGACTGACAAGTCCCGTTTCTTTAGATTTATGGGATCTAGAACAACATAGCGCTCTTCATATAACTTAAAACACATACCTCCTTTCCATAGTCTTTCATGAGAAACATGAGCATTTCCGTGAGGTTTGGCTCACAGGAAAACACCCTGTCCTTCAGAAGGGAGCGCAGGAACTCCTCTCTGGAACTTGAATTCCATTGCAACCAGGCCAGAAGGAAACAGAGCTGGATGTCAAGACTGCATTCGTGACCCAGCCTTTCTGCTCCTCTCCTCCCTGTAAATAATCAGCTGCACCCCTGGATTCTCCAAGGCAGACCTCTAAGGACAGCTTTATCTACTTACTGTGGTGGTGGTCCTTGAATAAACCTGATTGCCTCCCACCAGCTCTCATCTCCCAAACACTGGCTTTCAAGTGAGATGTCCAGATGTCAGTCCAGGGACACTAAGGGACAGGACTAGTGTGACCCCTCTTCTGTGATGAAGTGTCTAGGGTGTAAGGATGGAGGCACTTTCCCAAGGCCACACATTGGTCCACAACATATGGACTCAGAATGGCTCATCGTATCAGCAGAAATGAAAGCAACGTAGGACCAGACACTTCGGCATTTTGCTACCCATTCAGAGCCATCAAAAGGGCTTGCGATCCCAGGTCCTGACTGACTTCACCTTCCTCCAGGGCAGTGGACCATACGTGGAGAACCAGGAAGTTGTTGCTTCCCAATAGAGCAGTGGTTTTCAACTTGTGGGTTGCGACCTCCCAGGGGTTGCAAATCAGATATCAGATATCAGATATTTATGTTACAATTCATACCAGTAGCAAAATTACAGTTATAAAGTAGCAACAAAAAATAATTTTGTATTTGGTGGTCATCACAACGTGAGGAACTGTATTAAAGGGTCGCAGCACTAGGAAGGTTGAGAACCACTGCTCCAGGAAAATACTTGGTCTTCCTAAAGACAGCTGTTGGCTCTAGGCAGAGTCCAACAGGGTGGCCGTGTTCTTCCCTTTCTAGGAGCTGATGTCAAGTGTCTTCCTTGGTCATTCTTGTCCCCATTCCCTAAAGACAAGGTCTACCATTGAATCTGGAGTTTGCAGTTTGTTGACCAGCAATGTCATTCCTGTTTCTGCCCGGCCCTCCCCAGCTCCAGAGTTATAAGTGTGTGTGTTCATGTTCAACCTTTTCGTTTGTTTGTTTAAACCCGGTTCTGGGGATCTGAACTTGGGTCCTCCTCCTTGCACAGCAAACGCTCTTAGCCGCTGTCTTAGCCAGTGTTTGATTGCTGTGAGGAGACACCATGACCACGGCGACTCCTATAAAGGAAAACATTATAACTGGGTCTGGCTTACAGTTTCAGAGGTTTAGTCTGTTATCATCATGGCAGAAAGCATGGCAGCCAGCAGACAGACATGGTGTTGGAGAAGGGCCTGAGAGTGCTATATCCGGATCAGCAGGCAGCTGGAAGGGGATGTTATACTAGACCTAGCTTGAGCATTTGAGACCTCAAAGCCTGCCCCCTTATGATGCACTTCCTCCAACGAAGCCACATGCACTCCAACAAGGCCATACCTCCTAATAGTGCCGCTCTCTACGAGACCTTGGGGGCCATTTTTATTCAAACCACCACACCCACCGCGTCATCTGCTGTTCCTTAAATCTTTAAGTGACACCAACTCCAGTCTCTTCAGAGAGACTTCCTCACTGGGTCTCATCCTCACCCATACATCATACAAAAGAAAGAATTTCTCAGCTTGCTACAGGCTGCAGCTTAGCATAGACCACACTCTGTGTCCAAGCAGAGCCTGTGGGGTGCTCAGCATGCAGAGACATGCTGTCTGTCTGTCCTGCGGCACCTTCCTGAGATGGGGTGCTTTCTAGTTTAGTTATGTCTTCTGTGTGCTTATGTAGACTAGGTTTTTCTTGAGATTCACAAACCACCCCTGTGTTAGTTACTTTTTGTTGCTGTGATGAAACGCCATGCCCAAGGCGACTCAGAAGCAGGAGTTTATTTTGGATTATGGTTCTAGGGGGATTGGAGTCCATCGTGGGAGAAAGGCATGGCAGGAAACAGCAGGCAGGGCCGCCACAGGAGCAGAGACTGAGAACTCACATCTTCAAATGCAGGAGAGAGAGAGAGACAGAGAGAGGGAGGGAGACAGAGAGAGACAGAGAAACAGACAGAGAGAGACAGAGACAG